TTTCTTTGCTATATTTCAACATTTTACTTTTAATGTGGTTGAATCAGTATGCATAAACAGTGACAATAACAACAAGGAAAATCTAAATAGCCCCTTTCCTTTCAGGCCTTCACATGCAAATATAAATTAGATACTGAATTGAAAGCAAAAGCACTTTTGTTAACGATCATATCCAGATTGGAAGAATATTCTTATAATTTCTTAGGCATTTAATTAATGATGGAGAATTACATTATAATGAAAATGATTTGTCAATTAAAATTAAACCATCAAGTGGATCTTATCACATATGGAATTTAATTTCTGTGAAGGTTTTAGCCAAAAAAGCTATTGAGATATTCATAAAAGAGCCAGAGAACAAAAAGTAAAATGAAGAGCTAGTAGTACAAGAAGTGACTTTTCATTCCAGGCCAAGAAGAACAGCAGGATTTAGTGACAGGCACGTGCAACTTGGAAGGAGAGCAGATGTTCTCCATGTCTAGTGAGAACAAAGTAGACCTCCTTCTCAGTTTCACCAAGGAGGAACCAGAGTTAGACTCCCCGTCTAAGTGATAGCTTCCCGGTTTCTTAGTAATGACTAACGGCAGCAGAAGGGTTGGACTCACATTGCAAATCCAGCAAGGTGAATGGAACAGTGTTTATTTGCATCATTTTGGTGGTGCAGAAATGAGGCGTTCCTAGAGCAGTGTTATGTGTCTAATGTAATTTATGATCTTCTGCAATTCTACTTTGTCTTTTTTGTTTAATTCACAGTAGCAAAAATTTGCCAGCATAATATGGGAAATGTAAAATGATCATTGTACAAGATTCACTTATGGAAGTTAATTTAAAACTAAACAGACTACAATATTTTATTCCCAGACCTCCGTATTCCAGAATGCATGAAATGAGAACATTATATTCGGTTTATGGTAAAAAGCATAAAGGCGAACTATTGATCTAAATGATGAGTTGGTTATGAATAACTGGACAGCTGTTTAATTCTGCACAGCTGCATTGGACACTTGTGTGCAGCATATTCAATATTCGATATGAATATCCCACTGAGCCTTTTCTTCTTTAACCCACTTTCCTCAGTACCTCTTTCAACATAGTATCTTCAGATTCAAGGCCTCATTTAAGATATTCTGGGATAAGAGAATGATAATTTATAATTTATCAGTGGTTCACAAGGGTGGGTGTGTGTGGGGAGAGAGGTAAAAAGAGGAGCTGATACCAAGGGCTCAAGAAGAAAGAAAATGTTTTGAAAATGATGATGGCAACATATGGACAAATATGCTTGATACAGTTGATGTAGGGATTGTTATGAGATCTATAAAGAGCCCTCAATGAATGATTTCTTAATAAAAAAAGATATGGGAAGGCACTGTTAGCTAAGCCTAATGAAAAGGCAGTGCACAACAGGTATTTACTAATTTTTAAGTTCGTTACTGTTTTGAGAAATCTCAAAACAGAATATATAATAATGATTTAAGACATTTATAAGTTATTTCCTTTAGATTGACAATACATTTACATATTCGTCACAAAAATTGCATAATTTTTATTACCCTGTGCACTGTTCTAGACAACACTTCAGTTAATAAAATGATCTGATCTTCTACACATGTGAAGTTTCCTAAATCATACCTTATTATTATAATCTAATTTGTACACAATGAGCACTTTTTTCTGGTAGTATCGAGGCTGCTAAAATATCTGGCGACAAAAACAAGGTGATTTCTTTTGGACTGGTTGGAAGGAAATAACATCCAGGGAACCGTCAACTAGAAAAGGGGATTCCAAATAACAGCCTTTTGTTCAGAGTTCCTCCATCAATTCATAGATAAGTCAATTGGCACTCGTCATTTTAAACCCATTGGAGGCGAGTGCAGTTAAGAAGACTATAAAAGGTAGTCTAGGAAATAAACAGAAGTCTTGTAACCGTATAATATGCAGTAAGAAAGAGGATTGGGAGATCTATGAAAGCTGCCAAGAAGAACAAAAAATATAATTAAAAGAGCAAAAAGACATATTGAACACAATCACAGGGACTATTTCAGGCAACAGTAAATGTCTCTTCAAATATATCTTTTGAAGTTGGAAAGTAAAGTACAAAACTGTTCCATTGAGATCAGAAGAAAACTACTGGGTAGATTTCAGTTAGGAGCAGGCTGACCACAGTTACGTTGCTCATGTGAATGTTTACGTCTCTTTAAAATAATCAGATGGTATCTGACCCAGAGATCAGATAGTTTGAAATTCTTAAAATGAGAAGAGGATAGAGAAAAATAAAAACAAAGGTAGCATTTCAGGGCGATGTGGTTTAAAGTAGGGCAGACACACAGGCGTCTAGAAAACAAGTAGAGTTCGCAGTTCACGTCCAAACATGGCCAAATCTGTACCGTTATTGTAAGTTCCACCCGAGATGCATAGTATTTCAGATGTTTCCTTTCTTCCTTACAACTTGTGCAGGCAAGTAGGTTTTGCGTGACTTCCTTAGAAAGTATCACTTGGAGTGAAAATATTTTTGACATTGACTCTTTATTACTTGGATCAAATCTTTTCAACTCGTGAGACCTGTCAGACTTACGTGGGGTATTGTACCATCAAACACACACCTGCTGAGAACTGTCACCCTAGATCCTTGAGTAGTTCTTGATAGGTTGGAGAATGCGCTCAATAGTATAACACTTATTTCTTAAAGCCATCAACCCCTGTGTTGAATTATTCATACAGACGACAATTGACACACTCAACTAGAGAGCAGGCTAAGAATATCACGTTGTTAGGAGTGACATGCAATGACCAGTCGAGTTCCCGACGCTGATGTCAGATCTCGTGTGTCAGGTTGGTCTCAATCAGCAAATTTTCATTTGCACTCACACTCAGTTGATTACTTATTGTTCGGAGTACATCCAGAAGGTTGTTTTGAGTTTAATGGCTAGAAGACAAACACTACTTTCTTCGAAAAGAAACCTCAAGCTGGGGATCTCAAATACTGGCTGGAGGGCTTGGATCAAACAAGATCATTTTGGTTTTGTTTTCTAGAGATCTTTTATAGAAGCTAGAGAATATCATTAAAATAAAGCTCGAAGAGGCATTTCTATAGGTTAAGGAGGGATATCCAATTGCTTTTCTTATGACCTCCTTTCCCCAAACATATTCTAATTAAGAGAATCGCCCAATGATCATACATACTTCATTTATTTCAACTATCTCTATCCACTCCTCACCTCAGATTATTTTGATGCAAATCTAAGATATTATATTATTTTATGAAGTGTCCTAGTGTTTATCTTTAAGAAAATAAAGGATTCTTTATAGTTTTTTAAAAATTCCCATTCATTTCAGTCTGATATGTTACAATTTGTTTTTATATCGGTTCCCTCCCCATCTTCTGTGTGTGGCCCAGTCCATTCCAACTCACAGCAACCCGATCTTGCAGAGTTCAACTGCACTGGCGGTTTCCTAGACTGCAATCATTGTCGTTTTGTAATCTTCATAAGGTAGCTATGAGTTGCAATCAGTTTGACACCAGCCAGTTTAATCTTTCTTGGAAGGAGCGCTTGTGATTCATAGTTAAGCACACAACTGCTAGCCAAGAGGCTTAGGGTTCGAACCCACCAGTGGTTCTATTGGAGAACAGACCAGGAGATCTACTCCTGCAAAAACCACAGCCTAGGAAATTCCATGAGTCAGTTCTCTGTTTTGGTAGACCACTATACCTTGGCATCTATTTGTTAACAAACAGCAACATCGATCTTTACAGGAACAGATTAGTATGCCTTGTTTCCCTTGGCACCTCTAGTGGGTTGGAACTACCGACCTTTTAGTTAGCAGTGAGCATCTAATCATTGCATTTGTTGGGCTGCTTTCTCAATTCCTACGTACAATCGTTCCCTTGTGATTAATTTGTTGAAGCAGCTCCGCTTGCACTGTTAAGTAAGCACTGGGCTGCTAACAAAAGACTGGTGGTTCAAATCTACCAGCAACTCCTTGGGAGAAAAATGAGGTTATGTGCTCCCGTAAACCCTGTAGAGTCTCTGAGAGTCAGATACACCTGGGTGGCAGTGGGTTTGGCTTTGGCTTACTTTGCTGAAAAAGCTAAATAGTTTTCCCCAAAGCACTTCCTAAAGTTTCTAGATTCTTGCCCACCCCCAAAGTTTAATATATTTCTCTGACTACTGGATCTTATGAAAAGTGAGTTCCATCTACATTGTTTTCAAAATAGAATTCAGAGTGTTTATGGTGTAAGGATGATGCCTGTTTCTTGGATAAAGTTCACCAGTCATCTCTCTCTTCTTAGCCAATACTTTTATAGAACCTGGTTTAAAAAGATTAATATGGTGGAGTAATCAAACTCAGGCAGTCTATAGTCTTAGAACAGGAAGCAAGTATAGGTATAATTCATTCTGTAATAATGAGTATAATATGACGCACTTTTAGAGTGTTACTCAGTGCAAGCTTTTGTATCAGTAATTTTACAGTAATAAAGTTCCGACTTCTTCATGCACATAAAGCTGTGGTGCAGAGGGCAGTCTGCGGGACAGCGCCATCAAGCACAGTAGCTCTCTGGAACTCAAGCTGATAGGACATCTTGGAGATCGCTTTTAGTTCTGAGCCTCAGGGTGATGATGAGATGAATAGCACAATTCACAATGTGTTTGCAAACTTGAGAACTTCCCTTAAAGCTATAGTTGAACAATGCTGAGCAGTTATCAAGAGGCAATGATAGACAAATAACATGTCAGCTAAATCGAATTCTTCTGGGCTTCTCAATAACTCTGCAAATAATTAAATTAGATGATGTAGCAGCGTGCTTCCCTTCCATTCGCAAACCACATCAAACACTCACCTGGAGAGAAGTAACAAGTAAGAAGAGAGAAACTCCACACCTGGCAAGTACTCTTTTAGGAAATACACGGACATGCTGCAAGGCAGTGCCTTTGCATTCGTTTCCCTGGTTATCGTGCTTTGTATTTCAGATGCTGATCCGATTTGCGAACTTGTTTTTTTAGGCACAGACCGCACACATCGTCCTGGAAGATGGAACGAAGATGAAGGGCTACTCCTTCGGACATCCGTCCTCGGTGGCTGGTGAAGTCGTGTTTAATACCGGCCTGGGAGGGTGAGTAGTGGCCCTGTGACAAGATGTTATCTTTCTTCTGTGTAAACAAATAACTGGATCCTCTTACTCAAAGTGGCAACTTGAAATCACCCCACAATTATAAGACCAAATATTGGCCTGGCATTGCCTGGTGCCATGTGTGAAGGGAACACACACATTCCCTGATGCTGGGATGAGGGAGAACAAGGCCACTCTGGTGGTCTAGTAAGAAAAGAACAGCATTAATTCTAGCAGCGTGCCCTGAGAGGACACAGTTTATGTGGGTTTGCCAACTGGCTTCTCAATCAGAGATATGGATCCGATTAGGGTGACAATTTGGGTGGGGAAGGATAGTTAGCATTTCTGAGTGGTATTCCATTATTAAAGCAAATTGAGTCAACATCAAATATTGAATTTGAAATATTAAAAAGAGAGAAGATGTCTCTTGTTAGCTGTGGTTTAGTAGATTAATTCATGTGGCTTTTCCTCCTTTGATTGTTGTAACCCTCCCCAAATGACTGGGTGGAACCAGGAAGACTAGGTGTATTTCCTCTTTTCTGGATGAGTCTCAGAGAAGGTAGGGACAATGCTGATAGGAGGATGTGATTCAGTCATGAGTATTGATGCTCACAATTGTTACTTGTGAGCATCAATACTTTGAAGTCTAATGGAGATAATGATCAATTTTGTCATCCGACTGGGTAGAAAATAGTGATCTCAGAAGCAGGAAGGGTGTGGGGAGAGAATCTCATTACCATTGAAGTAGTAAGAGCCAGTAGGGAAGCACACCTTTGGGCCCTGAGATCCCTGTGCAGTGAACCTCCAGAAAGAACAAAGAAGGGGCAGAGTGGGAGCAGCAGAACCTTGCACAAGGCCAAGTAGTAGACCATTGGGCCCCAGAGTGAATCAATCTTTTCTGTGAGAGGGGTGCTTATAGATTGGGGTGCCTTCAGTACTTGATTAGGGCAGTGGGTTTACTGATGCATGGAGCTAGAGCTGAGCGCTTTTAGATGGAGGCTTTTGGCTGAGCGGAGTGCACTTGGCCATTGCTCTGCAGCACTAAAAGATGCCTGTAACACTGCCTGAGCAGGGCAGAGACCAAGAAGTGGTGAGGCTAAGAGTCCAGGGACCAGAAAGAAGTGATGTTGAAGGCCTAACTGAGAAGAAGCTGTCTGTAGTGGAAGAACTGTAAGCTTCTCCTGAATGGAGAGCTGTTAACTTCCCCAATTCACTCCCTAAACTTAAATATGGCCTGTAAGTTCTAGGTGGCTATGCAATGAATTACTGAACCCATGATGCAGTGTGCCATGGACAGGATAGTTGGCTTCAGAACAGGTGAAGATGTTTGGGGTGGAGGCAGGTCTGGCCCCACACTCGGAGGAACAGGCCCGGGGCCGATGCTGGTGATGCTGCTCCTCCCCGCTTGCAAAGTCCGAGGACGTCAGACACGGCTCCTGTGCCCCCCACTTTCTTTTTTACAGTCTATTACATAATTTTGCATTCTGCTAAGAAAGGATCAACAGCAGATACATGTGTTGTCTTAAAACAATCAATGGGAGAGCAGCTATATAGATTCCATGTATATTTAATTTTTTTAATTAATTGGGAGGTAGTACCTATATCATATCATTCCAGAGTTCAAGCACACGAAGCATTATGGTACAATTGCTGCCACAATCAGTTTCCAAACATTCTTTTCCTTCCCGGACTCCTTGACATCGTCTCCCTTTCAGCCCCTCAAACCCCACCGCCACGACCCTTTCTCCATCCCCGGGATCCCTTATTCCACTTGCTGTCCTCATAGGCTCATCCATCCCGGGTTTCCTCGACTGAAACCCAGAAACCTATAAAACACAACGTCACGAGCGTGACCTCCAAAAACATAACGCCTCTGAGATACACCCTAAAATGAACAAACAAAAGCAAAACAAAGACACAGATAATGTTGAAAACCTGATCGAGTCCAGCATGCATCAGAGGGTGGTAGATCCAATATTTTTAGGATTCATCAGTTATGACCCAGGTTAGTATTTAGACTGTAGTACATGTAAAACAACCAACGCAAGAAATTGGGCATTGCTCATCCAACAAAGGCTTGCTCATCTAGAAGCCTGGCAGCTGAGATTTTGATCTCGGATTTAATGATGAGTCATTATGTGACATTAAGAAAGTCACTATATCTCTCTGAGTCCTACTTTCTCCCTGTAAAAAATGAGGTTGGTAGATTACATAGCAATTTACATTTGGGCATTCAAATATCAAGCATTACAAATAAATAGGTTAAGTGTTTGAAAAGCTTTCTAGAATCTATTTGATATGTTTTTTAGGAAACCTTTGAAGAAGAAGAGGTGATGGGTTAACCGATATGGGGATATTGGCTGACCAAATTTTCATTGTATTATTAATGTATACCCTTCTGTAAACTTGTGGCTCTCTGTGTGAAGTAAAGCACATTAGATGGTTCTTTAAATAGGTCCACGGGTGAGAACATTGTATTACAGTGTCTGAAACCTGTTTGCAAAGTTTTGCTTCACCAGGCAATTATTTAGCTTTTCGACAGCACTAATTACCAGCTGTGTTAATATACCTGCCAACAAACAACTCTTTAATATAGATCAGAATGATGGAGGGCATGAGAGTTTTCTTTCTTGTGATAGATTACGGGTAATAAATCTTGTCACATCACAAAAGTCAAACAAGACCTGATGGATTAATTTACCCCCAACGTCGCGGGTCTCCAGGAGAAGTTGCATTTATTCATTTAGTGGAGAGAGTATTATAAGCACATGTTTAAAGGGAACGACCAGCTTTCTTAGGTAGAAAAAGAAGAAAGGGAAATCAAATTAAATTAGAGATTTTTTTTTAATGTAAGACCGGAGATGCAGTCTCTGTTTCTCATGGAGGAATGCTTTCCTTCACTGAGTGACTCACTCGGTATGATGGTTGATGAATAAGGGAGTTACTTGGGTTTTCTTCTTCAAGAAATACATTTGTCTTTTGTGGAAGACTTAGCTTAAAAGAAGTCAGTTCCTGACAGAGGCAGCATCTGAGAAATTGGCTGCTGGAAGTTGTGCCTAAATCCTCTGGCACTTTCATCACCGTAGGGAACGCTGAGCTGAAAGACTTCAGGATGCTACTGGCGAAGGGAGGTCTGGTAGGAGCGACTCTGGAGCGTGTGGAAGAATTTATGCTGACAACTGCCTGAGCTGAACTTTACTGGCTTCAAGGTTGTCCATTCTGTCCCCCTCAGCTGCTAAATTTGCTTTCAGTAGGAATCCACGGGGAAGATGTCCCTTAACTCATTCTGCAGAAAGGGAAAATGGAAGGGGCTGGAGGATGGAATTGAAATGCATTCCAGAGCATGGGATGAATGTACATAGCTAGCCCTTGGTATTTATGGAAATATTACTTCTTAACTTTTAAATATACATATTTCAAACCTTTAAAATATCGCCCTCCTATATGGCTGGTGTAGTGGAAACGCGTGGGTAACTGAGGAGAGAGACTGGGCTCTCTCCTCCTGTAAACGCTAGAGTTTTGGAAACCCAAGGGGGGTTGCGATGCGTCAGCGCTGACTTGATGGCAGGGGGTTTGGCAGTTGGGTGTTGCCTATGAGGGACACACGACTACTTTAAAAGAATTAGTTGGAATCTTTTAACCTAGAAAATCAGAAATGCTTCAGGTGCTTCTGTGAGGCATTTTTTGGGTGTGTTGATAAAAGCTCCCAATCTTTATAGATTACTTTCTAAACATAAAAGATTTGGAAAAACCAACTTCACTGAAGTACATTTAAAAAAAAATGAATTCTTTCTTTTTAAATAGTTGGTATATTTCAATTTGTATATACACCTATATAACTACCACCCTCACAATCAAGATATGTATACTTCAGTGTCCTATAAGATTAAAAAAAAAACACCTCTTAAAATTTTTAAGTTTATATATATTTTAAATCATTTTCTTGGGGAACATTTAATATTTGGGTGAACGGGAGAGCCCTCAACTACAAATATTTCTCCGCACTCACAAATGTCTAGTGGACTACAGGAATGAAGGTTTCTGGAAATTTTACATGGAGAAACTGTGAGGATGTTTTTAAAAGAAATTTTAAAAAATTCAAAGGAGTGAAAATTGCAAGGGATTATTCTATAATAATTGTGAGTTGACTTTTCTCTCTCCCATCATGGGGCAAAGACCCATTCTTCTATCACTAAATCTCCCTAAAAATACTAGCATGTAGAGATGAGCTTACAGGACTGTAACTCTATGCTTTCTAATTTTCAAGAGTCAAACAATTCAAAGCATTTATGTAGATTGTAGTTTTATATTTGCATACATTTAATATATCTATATATATATTTAATGTCTCTACCCAGGTACCCTGAAGCTATCACTGACCCTGCCTACAAAGGACAGATTCTCACAATGGTCAACCCTATTATTGGGAATGGGGGAGCCCCAGACACTGCTGCACTGGATGAACTGGGATTGAGGAAATACATGGAGTCCGATGGTATTAAGGTAGGAAAACAGAAGACCATTTGGGGGAGTGGAGTTGGTTTCTTTTAAAGAAACGGTTCCCTCGATATTGCAGTACAAGCCATTACATTCATTTTTCTGAATCTTATTCCTAGTCTATGAGAGTAATCTTTGACTTGACTGCGTTTTGCGAGTCAGTTCTCTGGACACGTCATATTTGTTTCAAAATTATTGGATAAAA